ATTCTTCAATTTGATCCTACTAATATGAAAAGTGATACAGCAATAGTAGAGAATAGTGATACTTCTCAAATTAATGTTGATATGACTAGTTTAAAGACTGAATTATTTAGAACAAAGGCTAATTATGATTTAAGATTTAATGTCAAATTATCTAATGATGATAATAATGATAATAATGATGATACTAATATTAATGAAAAGATTTATGGAATAGGATTCTTGTTTATACTTAATGATAAAAAACAAATATGATGTTATTATGTATTGTAATACAAATGAAAATCAGATTCAAATTCCTTTAGAAAGTAGTTTATCATTTAATCTTAATGACTCTTTCTTTTTATTTGGTGAAAATTCATATTCATCACTTACTATTAATCATCCTATTGTTTCTATTGAATACAATGATTATCTACAAATATTATTAAATAATATGCCATTTGGTCTTCAAAGAATTTTTGGAGATTTAACTTTCTCTAATGTTCTCAGTATAGTAAGTTATGATTATAATGAAACTACTGGTTCATGTTTACTTAGAAATTAAACATCTAAATAAACTAATTGATTAATTTTTAAAAATGATTCAATTATCATTTAATTGTCTAATTGGTTAATTGATTAATTAATTAACTCTTTTTTAAATAATTTTCTTCTTCTACTCATCCCTTGATTAGGAGTATTCTTATCATTTTCTCTTTTACTAGTAGTAGTAGTAGTCTCATCACTTACAAATACAAATGATACATTATCACTTCCTAATGAATATTCAGTAGTACTTTGTTCAAAAATAATATCTTCATATTTTCCTAATAAGAATGCAGATTTTCTTGGTAAATGTAATGTACCTTTAATATCTATTCCAAGATTCCTCTCTACCATAAATGATTTATTAGTAATAGAAAAGTCTCCATTATAATTCTCTATATCTGTCTTCCAATATGAAATTTTATATGAATTAGCTAAAAACAAATATGGAACTTTATCTTTACTAGAAACTACCATTCCACCTACAATATATTTATTAGAAATACTATTATGTGAATATAATCCCATTGAATAGCATAA